GGTCTCAAGCATGGCAACAATTTTGTGGTTCCCCAGCACTGGACAATGTTTCGTTCTGTTGGGCATAGTGTCACTATGAATTAGTATCGACTCGATGACACCTAATAACAACAACAATAACATTAAGCACTAATTCCTATACTAAGAACCCTGCTACATCACCCATGATTCATTTCTGGTTGCATCATTATATTGGAAGAGAATATTGAAAGTGCCATGGACTTCCAAAAGAACCAATAGATCTGTTTTGGAAGAAGCGCAGCCAGAATGCTCCTTAGAGGCCAAGATGGCCAAACTTCATCTCATACTTTGGAAATATTGTCAGGAAAGACCAGTTGCTGGAGAAGGATATCATGTTTGGTAAGATGGAGGGTCAGAGAAGAAGAGGAAGACCCCCCAATGAGATGGACTGGCCATGTGGCAGCAGCAGTGGACTCAAGTGTGGCAACAGTAGTGAGTTTGTCCCATGATTGGGCAGTGCTTTGTTCTGCTGTATATGAGGTCACTATGGGTCGGTACCAACTCAACAAAAACACCAATTGATGGTCTGTTCCACAGTCTGCCCCTGACCTTGTTTTCACTGATAATATGGAGTTTTCCCATCGCCGTTTTCCGCAGATATAATTAATTTGATTTCTATGCATTCCATCTGGTGAGGTCCATGTGTACAGTCATCTCTTAGGCTGTCTGAAGAAGGTATTTGAAATGAATAAATCATTGGTTTTGCAGAATTCTATCATCTGTTCTCCAGTATCATTTCTGTCACCAAGGCCATATTTTCTAAGCTCTGATCCCTCTTCCCTACTCCCAACATTTGCATTCCAATCACCAGTAATGATCAATACATCTTGATTGCATATTTGATCGATTTCAGATTGAAGAAGTTGGTAGAATTTTTCTATTTCATCCTCACTGGCTTTAGTGGTTGGTGCATAAATTTGAATAATAGTGTTATTAACTGGGTTTCCCTGTAGGTACATGGATAGTATCCTATCACAAACAGCACTGTACCTCATGATTGATCTGGATATGTTCTTTTTGACAACAAATGCAACATCATTCCTCTTCAGTTTGTGATTCCCTGCATAGTAAACCATATGGTTGTCAGATTCAAAATAGCCAATACCAGTTCATTTCAGCTCACTAATGCCTAAGATATCAATGTTTATACATTACATTTCATTTTTGACAACTTCTAATTTTCCCAGATTCATACTTCGTACATTCCATGTTTCAATTTTCAGTGGATGTTTACAGCTGTTTCTCTTCATTTTGAGTTGTGACCCATCAGCAGATAAAGGTCCCGCGGGTTTTTCTCCCATGGGCTTTACTCCATTCACGTCATCAAGGTCAACTCCACTTTGAGGAGGCAGCTCTTCCCCAGTCACATTTTGAGTGCCTTCCAACCTGAGAGGCTCATTTTCTGGCACTATATCTGACAGTGTTTCTCTGCTATTGATAAGGTTTTCAGTGACTAAATATTTGGAAGTAGTTTGTTACTCTTTCTTCCTACTCTCCCTTCATCTGGACACTCGTCTGAAACCTGTCCACCATGGGTTGCCCTGCTGGTATTTAAAATACCGGTGACATAGCTTTCAGAATCACAGCAACTCACAAGCCACCACAGTACGACAAACTGACAGATGAGTGTTGGCCGTTTGGGTTTAAGTGGAAACTTGTATTGGCTCTTGCCTGGATTTTATAGGGTGTGATTGTAGGTTGACTTTCTGATTACAATTACTGTCTCTTCTTGGGTGACATAGGGAGAGAAAGAGACCCCTGAAGGTAAAGCGGGGACCAAAAAACAAGACAGCAAAACACAAAACAAAACAGATTGCATACTATAATCTATAATTGCAGAAAAGAGAGAAAAAAATTCTGTAGCAAAATATGAGTATGACTTTAACATTCTTCTCTTGGCTTCATGCCTTCAAGGCTACCTGAGAAATTTCAAGATGTCACTTTTGGTCCTTATGACATAACTCAGTATTTAATTTTCATCCTGTTTCCTTTCAGTCTATTTCTCTCCCACTCCATAATTCCCATTCAGGCCTTCTTCCTATTGATAAACTGATCAGGGCCAGCTGTAGCTGTTTTGGATGGCCATTTGGTTTTAAGCCGTGCCATTTCCCTACTTAGATTCTGCTGAGCAAATCCGTGCGCATGCATATTATAACCCTCCAGGAGTTGGGGGTGAGGGGGGTGTCCACCTGCTCAGGCACACTCTGTAATCACCAGAGGGGAAGTGCACAGACAGTGAGAGATCAGTGAACACAGAGGAAAAAAAAAGAATGTCTGTGCCTTTACTTCCAAGGATCTGTCAGATCTCTGTGGTGGGAGCGTTCCTCTGATCGGCCAGACTTTAGCTCAGGCTTTCTCACCATCAGCACTGTCGACATTTACTGCTGGATAATTCTTGCTTCCTGTGTCCTGTACATTGTAGGGTGTTTAGCAGCAGACTAGCCAGTGGTGAAAAATAAAAATGTCTCTATGTAATGTCAAAAGTCCCCTGGGGGAACTCAACAAACACCTCACCTCCTCAACCACCACTACTGAAGAACCATTGCCCTAAGTTATATAGGGAGATTTTGTATGCAATAAGGATCCCAGTTGGCAAAGTGGTGAAATAACCCACTTACGAACTAAAAGGTTAGATATTCAAACCCATCAGCTGCTAGGTAGGAAAAGATGTGTCAATTGGCTTCCGTAAGGATTTATCTTCTTGGAAATCGTATGGAATGGCTCTACTCTGTGAGTTCGAATTGACTTGATGGTCATGGTTTGGATTTGTACAAGGGGATTTCTAAAAGTTTGTGGAACAGTTCCATTATATTTGCATTCTATTTTCCACAAACTTTTTAAAGCTCTTATAAAAATGTATAATATATATTAAATAGTTTCTATTTTAATAAGAAGCTCTGGTAGCATAGTGGTTATGAATCAGATTGCGAACCTTAAGGTCAGCAGTTCGAAACTACCAGCTGTTCCGCGGGAGAAAGATGAGGCTTTCTGCTCCCGTAAAGATTTACAGCCTCGAAAACCCTGTACAGGGTCGCTATGGGTCGGAACTGACTCTAAGGCACTTAACAACAATATTTTAATACTGGTAAACTATGTTCTGGGACTAGTGCAAACTATACTTAAAACTTTAGGATATGTAGGAACATCTGGGAGTCCTGGTGTGGCACAGTAGGATAACCACTGGACTGATAACCGTATGGTCAAACTCCCCAGCCACTCCTCGGAAACCCTCATGGGTCACTATGAGTTGAAACTGACTCAGTGGTGCTTTACAAGAAGAAAAAGGAGTATCTGAGTGTTTAATGTTTTGATATGGTCACTTAAGTCAGTCTCTCTTTTCATCCAATTTCTATATAAGGAGTCTTCAAAAAGTTTGTGGAAAATGGGGTTAAAAGCTAAAGGGATTCTCCCATGGACTTTTTGAAGTCCCTTGTATTAGAAAACTTGGTAGCTTATAACACTGCCTTAGATTCCTCATGGTGTCATAACAAAATACTGCAAAGTGGTTGATTTTAAAAAACAGAAATTAGTTTTCTTAAGTTCAAGATATTGTTAATTGTGGGTTTTGAGAAGACTTGTTCTTTTGTCTCTCTCCTTCTTTATCTGTGAATGACAAGGTCATCTTTGTCATGCCTTGGCTTATCTATCCTCCCATGCTTTCCTCTTCCTGTGCATAACCCTGGGCTATGCCTGCCCCTCTGTTACAAGACTACTCAAAAGGGATTAGCATTGGGCCTGACTCTTCTCCAGTATGACTTCCTTAATTTAACTGGTAACAACTCTGAGAGCTGACTTGACAGTACCCAGCAACTACAACAATAACAACAACAAACAAACCTTAAGGTGAAGACAGGCATTGCCAGAAAATGGAATCTGATGTCATTTTGGAAGCATGTTCTTTTAGGAAATCTCTGGCCTTTTCCTTAGGTTCTTCTCACAGACCCTTATGTTCTCCTTCTCATAGCTTCTTTCTCTGTGTGTCTCTCTTGCTACCAAAGAGCACATCCCCTCCATGCTCTCGTGTGAGTAACAGTATTCTCATTATTACTTATTCTTATGCCCATGCCAGCCATGAGGCATGAAGAGGTGTCACTAGCCAGCTGCATCCATGGTTCAATCCTTACCCACCCCAGAGCAAGCGATAGCCTATGGCTCATTTCCAGACCAGAATGTTGGGTCGGAAGATGTTTTACATGAAGCAGCTCTTGAAAATGATAAACTTAATGATGAGTATTTATATATAGCCTGCCAATATGGCTTCTCATTACCACATTATGAGTTCACATTTAGCTAAGATTGAGGGAGCCAATAAAACCATTTCTCTTTTCAAAGATCAAGTCTTAAAAGCACTTACTGACCTATCAGTAATGCCAGACAATAAAGTCATATTAAATGTATTAGAAGGTAAACAGGGTAAGGAAAATTGCCCTTTGGAAAATCTGGAATTCATTGTTTGAATATTTTCCTATGTCTATTCATCAGACAAACTAAGTCTGTAGGTGATCCAACAGGAATGTTGTAATACAGAGACAATTGAACTTCTATAACTGAAATCACACTTCAGTTTCAAGTGTCATGGAGGCTTTCTACTGAATTTTAAGAGGCTAGAGTCCTTAACCCTGTACAGGGTCGCTATGGGTCGGGACCGACTCGAAGGCACTTCACAACAACAACAACAACAGAGTCCTTAAGAATCAAAGGAGCTGTGTAAACTTGATTCATCATCATTTGCACGTAAACTGCAAGAACAGAGAAGGGCTCCACAAATTAAAACCGAATAGGTGTCTCTTGTTTAATGTGCAAAATGAGAACACAGTGATTAGAAGCTTTGAACATGCACATAATATGAACTCTGGAACCTGGAGACACTTCTTTAATGAATAATTTAAAATTTAGTTGAGTCAAAGTATTCTTTAAAGGAAATTATTTTCATGGTCATGTTTCATCATTAGTAATTATGCTCTTTCCTTTTATTACAGGTAATGTATGAAATTGTTGGAGCAATTGAAAAAAATAAAGACTCCCTTTCACAGAATCTTCTATTTGTAATGAAAAGTAAGTTTTTTTCTTTTTCCTTATTCTGGTAAAAAATGCCACATATTCCTGATTTCTCTGTTGAATGTTGCCCTATAAAATTATGCTACCAGCTACAAGATAATTGAGATATTTTTTACACTCTAATGTGCAGAATAATAACAAATGTATCTCACTACAGTACACATTGGTTACAATTTAATTTGGAGTCCTGTAGAAACCTTAATTTAACTAAGCTTTTAGCAGATAGAATTGTAAAACACCTTTACTACTTTAGTGGTTTGAATATGAAAAAGCTTTTCTGTGAAGACTAATGAAGATGAATTTGGCTTCTCAAGTTATTTAAGTTACTGCAGGGCAAATTTCCGGACTTAAGATGACTCTGGAGAACAACTAAGAGGGGTATTTACGTCTTACATATCTTTCTGTTATAAAATACTAAGACTCACTAAGTAAAAGAAGAATGAATTATTTTATTTTCTGATTTTATACATTTGTATATAAGCATATACAGTCCTGGTGGTGGTTGTGTGCTATCAAGTTGGTTCTGACTCATGCCAGTCAGGCACAGGGTTTTGAGGAGCATCTGGTGAATTTGAACCACTGACCTTGCACATATGTATATATTGTTGTTGTTGTTGTTATGTGCTGTGGAGTCGGTTCCGACTCATAGCGACCCTGTACAGGGTTTTCGAGGCTGTTAATCTTTATGGGAGCAGAACGCCTCATCTTTCTCCTGTGGAGCAGCTGGTAGTTTCGAACTGCTGACCTTGCGGTTCGCAGCCCAATTCGTAACCACTACACTATCAGAGCTCCTTTATAATTCTATACTGTATACACAATGTATTACATTGATCTATAGTATATGATAGATACGTAAACATATATGCAAGTATGTGGTGCTGCAGCATAAGATACTGAACCAACCTCAAGGTTGGTATAAACTGCATGGTCACTGGTTCAAACTCATCAGCTGCTTCTCAGAAACTCCATTCAAGGTCACTATGAGTTGGAACCAACTCTTTGGCACGTAAGAACATCAACAACATGTATATACGTAAGAGGTCCTTGGTGGTGTGATGGGTTAATCAATGGGCTGCTTACTAGAAGGTTGGGAGTATGAACCCACTAGCTGATCTTTGGGAGAAAGATGAGACGATCAGCTTCCATAAAGATTTACAAACATGAAAACCCTTAAGAGAGTTCAACTCTGTCTTACAGGTCACTGTGAGCTGGAATCGACTTCATGGCAGTGGGCCAGAGGGTAGACATACATATTTGCATACATTGTGTACATATGTAAGGGGATCTGGTAGCTTAGTGGTTACAAATTGGGCTGCTGACCTTAGGGACAGCAGTTCGAAACTGCCAGCTGTTCCATTGGAAAAAGATGAGGCTTTCTGGTCCCGTAAAGATTTACAGCTTCAGAAAGCAGAACCAATTCCACGGTACATAACCACCACCACCACCACCACCGTGTACATATGTGTTGTTGCTAAGTTCTGATGCATACTGACCCTGTATCAGGTTTCTGAGGCTTTAAATCTTCACAAGAGCAGAAAGTCTCATCTTTCTCCCAGGGATCAAATCACAGACCTTATCACTTACAGCCACAACGTTCCAGTGTATGTGTAAATATGTATATATATGTAGACTCCTGGTGTGGCACTGTAGGATAAAAACTGGGCTTTGACACAAGGTTGGTGGTTCAAACCCACTAGCCACTCCTTGGAAACCTTATGATGGGTCACTATAAGTTGGAATGAACTCTATGGAACTTGTTGTGGTTGTTGTTGTTAAGTGCCGTCAAGTTGGTTCTAACCCATAGCAACCCTGTGTAGAGTTTCCAAGGAGAACCTTGTAAGCTTGAACTGCCAACCTTGCAGTCCAGTGCATTATCTCACAGCACCACACCAGGATTAGCAACATGTTGCTGTTTAGTGTCGTAGAGTCATTTCCAACACATAGTGACCCTTTATAGGGTTTCCAAGGAGCAACTGGCGAGATTGAACTGCCAATCTTGCAGTTCAATCCAACTTTGCAGGCCAGTGTATTAACTCACAGCACCACACCAGGACTCCTAGCAACACACGCACACACACACACACACATATGTATATATATACACACACACAGAGAGAGCGAGAGTTGTGGTGTAGCTCCCTGGACTGTGAAACACAAGGTTCACAGCTCACCAGCAGCTTCTGCTTGGAAACCCTATACAGGGTCACTATGGGTCAGAACCAACTCGATGGCACTTAACAAGAACAACAACATATATATGCATCTATATGCAGGGTCACTTTGAAATTCAAGGTCAGCAGCTCAGGCTCATCAAATGCTACTTGGAAACCCTACACACAGGAATTGCTATTAATTGAAACCAAGTCGATGGCATTTCAGAAGAACAACAAAAATGTATATGTATAGAGAGAGAAAAGAAAGAAACGAGAGTCTTCAAAATGTTCATGGAATAATTCCATTTCTCCATGAACTTTTTGAAACATATATATTTCCATACACAATTCTACCTCCTCTAGTGATATATTCATTAATAGCGGTTCTGCAGTGATTCACATTTTTCGAATAACCTTTTCAGACATGTCGTGTTTTGTGCTTTAAGTTGTTCCAAGTAAGATAGAGTCATTTATCTTTTCTGGACAAAGGAGCATATGATAGCCTTTCATGAAATCGGTAGATGCCTTTGAGCTGGAAATCAGACATTCGTAGCAGACTTCTTTCTGGTTTGAGGAGCACATTTGCCTTAAATTACAGCAGCACAGTGACAGTATATTGTCACTTATGGAAGACCACTCTGATAGCCCCCAGTAACTGTGCTTACTGTGAATTCTCTTAGTATAATTAATGATAAACATATGAAGTGAGGATAATATTATATAGAAATAATTAATTGGAAAAGTTAATGCTGTTGATTAACATTGGCATTTTCTTCCCTCTCATTTTCAAGTCTTTAATTTTCACTTATAATGCACTTCTTAAGCCAAAATATGTTTTATCCAATTTCTACTTTATTTCAAGGTTATAAAATTTAAAAACCCATCTTAAACAACATTACATTTACAATTAACATAACTCCCTTTTACAATCATTCCATTAAAAAATGTGCCATTATTACCATTTTTATGTTTACAATGCAGTGACAGTAATATTCACTAAGCCACAGTATTTCCTGAATATATAATATATACTATGTTTTAAACAGAGCTCTGGTAGCATAGTGGTTATGAATTGGGCTGCGAACCTTAAGGCCAGCAGTTCGAAACTACTAGCTGTTCTGCAGGAGAAAGATGAGGTGTTGTACTCCTGTAACGATTTCCAGCCTTGGTAACCCGGTACAGGGTCACTATGAGTCAGAAGCAACTCCACGGCACATAACAACAACAACAACAATATTTTAAAAATGAAACAGTGCCGTTTTCTTCATATTTATGTCTCACGGTGACAGAATATGTTGCTGTTCTTAGATGCTGTTGTGTCGGTCCCAACTCATAGGGACCTAATGCACAACACACCAAATCATCACCCAGTCCTGCGCCAATCTCACAACAGTTGCTACATTTGAGCCTATTGGTGCTGCCATTGTGCCGCTATGGCAAACCATCTCATTGAGTGTCTTCCTCGTTTTCATTGACCCTATACTTTGCCAGTAATATGTTAGGGAAAGAAAAAAAAAAAAAAAAGGTTAAACAAGTGAGCAGAACAGAGTTAGATTGGTAACAACAGGGCACCTGGAGATCTCCAAGAAACCTGAAAACAAGCCAAAGGGACAAGAACCTTCTAAAACTGACAGATAGCCTTCTCCTACATCCAGTGCCCTCAATTCATACACTTCTAGCCTCTAAGAAAATAATTTCCTGTTTGTTAAAGCAACAAATCCTATGCAACTATTCAGTGAGGCAAGAGCAGTACAGTGGTAACTACGTCTACCAAAGCAGCAATTCAGGATACATTTTACTTTGGTGGTGATTATGTGCCATGGAGTCGGTTCCGACTCATAGCAGCCCTGAACAGGGTTTCTGAGGCTGTAAATCTTTATGGGAGCAAAAAGCCTCATCTTTCTCCCACGGAGCAGCTGGTAGTTTTGAATTGCTGACCTTGCGGTGTGCAGCCTGATTCTTAACCACTACGCTATCAGAGCTCCTTACATTTTACTTTAGAAGAAATAATAATTGTTTAAAAAATATAAACCCACTTTTCAGCTGTTTTTGTGGCTTTTACAGACAGTATGAAACACAATTTTTTATGTTAAAAGAGGATGATTGACATAAATGCTCACCTATAGTAACTCCTGGAGTCTTGGTATGGCACTGCAGGTTAATGCACTGGACCGCAGAGCCTGTTTACACTGTGAGGTTGGCAGTTCAAGCTCACCAGCTGCTGCTTGGAAACCCTTATACATGGTCGCTATGGGTTGGAACAGATTTGATGGCACTTAATAACAAGCAGCAGTCAAGAGATCAGATGACGTATTGCATTAGGCAAATCTGCTGCACAAGACCTTTTTAAAGTGTTGAAGAGCAAACATGTCAGCTTGAGGACTAAGGTGCACCTGACCCAAACCAAGATATTTTCAATAATCTCATATGCATGTGAAAACTGGACAGTCAATAAAGAAGATCGTAGAAGATTTGATGCCTTTGAGTTATGGTGTTAGAGGAGAATATTGAAAGTGCCATGGGCTGCCAAAAGAACCAACAGATCTGTGTTGGAAGAAGTGCAGCCAAAGAGCTCCTTGGAGGCCAAGATAGCCAAACTTCATCTCTCATATTTTGCACATATTGTCAGGAGGGACCAATTGCTGGAGAAGGTTATCATGTTTGGTAATGTGATGGATTGACCAAGTGTCAGCATCGATGGACTCAACATGGCAACAATAGTGAGGTTGGCCCAGGATCCGGCCATGTTTTGTTCTGCTATGCATAAGGTCGCTATGGGTCGATACTGACTCAATGGCACCTAACAACAACAACAACAAACAACACAGTAACTCCCTTGTGAGC